TGGATCATCTTATGTGCTATAAGAGCGGCAGCCAATCCCTTAGCGTGGATAGTAGGGTACTGCTGACTGGTCTCCTTTCCTTCTAGACAGGAGGTTAGATTAGGGACAATGGAAATCTTAGTCGCTTTGCTATAAATAAAAAGAATAGGTATTTGAAAATGTGCTCACCTTACATTTTTAGGTTATTTTTCAATTATTACGGGCTGTATTCTTTAAACGTTACTATTGTTACTTAATATTCACTTTTTGAGTTATTGATTATTTCACACAAATTTATTAAAACATTGTTTTTAGCCACACCATAGCGACTCATAGCACGGGTCAGAGTTTGTGTTTTGTTTTGTTGTTGTTGTTTTTTCATCTCTTGACCGATTTCAGATCTACTTACAGTTTTGGACTTAGGAGGTCAAACCCTTTTGGTTGATGTATTTGACCACGCCCAATGTCCCATAGATTAATTAACTCTAATCGTGTCTAAGAGAATTTCGATTTGAGGGTAGGCTGGTAGATATCGTAATGAGTAATAAAATCGAATCGAGTATAAGCGCGTCCCACACTCCGTATTGCTGGCGCACAAAAATAAAGCTGTTACGACAGCGGAAATCACGTGACCCTAGTAACACGTCATAAACTTCTAGAAGGATCCTGTCCCTTCCTGAAGTCTCGGGAGGTTACTAGATATGCGGTATTCTTGTATATATAAGACCGGTAAGAATTGACGGCAACAATGTAATTGAACTGCGGACAGAGAGAGACGTATTGTTGAGTACGTGAGACGTTGGTTGTGAATTATAGCGTTTGTTATAGCGTAACTGTGAAAATTAAGTGTATTGCAAAATTTTATTTAAGAAAGGATTTGTATCGCTAAAGTTTCTTCGGAAAGAGTTTTTACGGAAAATTAACTAATGACCAGAGAAGTAACAAATTGGTGTCAGAAAGTGGGACAGAAAATAAAAAAAAAGAAGAAGATGGAAACGAGAGGCAGAAAATCAAACTACAGCTTAGCAGATTTTATGGCAGCAATAAAATAACAGCAAAAGAAACAAGAAGAACGAGAAAAGAAACAAGAAAAGAGACAACAGCAGTTGCAAGAAAACCTGCAACAGTGGCAACTAGAACAAGAAAGGAAACGGGAAGAAAGCCAGCAGCAACTACAGGAAAGTCAGCAACAGTGGCAAGAAGTACAAATGGAAAACATTAGTAAACTTAAAAGCGAATTGGATACATTAAAGGATGATTTATTGTCTTTTACACAAGAAGATACATTAACCATCGACTTAATCAGCCCCAGACAATAGCAAGCCCCTTCCAGACCCTGCAGCTAAACCCTAATGCAGACATCTTCAGTCCTGTTAGAAGTCACATCCCAGATATGAATGTCAGCAATAGGGGTGATCCAGTACGAAGGAAGGCATAGGAATTCGATGGGAAGGCACCGTGGGAAGCATATAGACCACAATTTGAGCTACTGGCAGAAATGAATGGATGGACAGAGGAGCATAAAGCAGTATATCTGGCAACGAGCTTGAAGGGACAACCACTGGAAATACTTGGACAGTTGTCAGAAGACGACAGACAAAACTATAGAGCACTGGTAGCGGCTCTACAACTCAGGTATGGAACCCAAAATCAGTCTGAAGTCTACAGGGCTAGGTTTAAGACGAGAGTCCGTGCTAAAGGGGAGAGCTTGCAAGAGCTGGCACAGGACATGGAAAGTATGGCACACAAGGCCTACCCAACTGCACCACCCGATCTCCTCATGCTGTTACTGAGGGATCAGTTTGTAGACGCCTTGGACAGTCCACAACTGAAAATACAAGTAAAGTAAGCACACCCCTCTACTATGCAGGATGCAATGGCCAGTGCTCTTGAATTTGAATCCTACGTTAAGTCCAGCACAGAGGTACCAAGGCTGGTACAGTCATCAGGATTCAAGGCCAGAAAAGGTCAGCTTTCAGAGAAGTTTGAGAGAGTTTGCTGGCACTGTAATAAACCTGGGCACAAGAGAGCTCACTGCTGGCAACTTCAACATAGGGAAGATGCCATGACAGGAAAGGCTGCTACCCAGAAAGGTTGTTGGAACTGTGGAGAGCAAGGACATATGAGGAGCCAGTGTAAAAAGAATACCACCAATAAGTCAGCTTCGGGAAACCAGTAGTGGTTGGTGCTGAGGGACGCCCATCAACCCCCATCGTGAAAGTCCCAACAGCTGAGTGTAAAATGGCAAGTACACATAGTGTTTATGTGACAGGAAAGCTGGATGGCCAAAGGTGCAACTTTGTCATAGATACTGCGTCTCAGCAAACCCTTGTGAGTTGTTGTTTGTTATTAAGCACAAAGCAACACAAAGGGCTATCTGTTTCTGCCCACCCGGTTTCTAGCGGTCCACAGACATACCGCTGTGTCACTGTTATGTAAAACTAATAAATTTTCTTTTTTTTTCCAAATTGTGCAAAAGGGATCCAAGCTTAAAACTTTTCGAAATTGCTTAGAAACCTATGCCTAATGCTGTGAACAATTTTGTCATAAATATGTATTGTTGCGTATCTGCTTGTTTGTTAATTCCCGGTTGAAATTGTTTCTCGGGAACTTCAGCGATACAAGTCCTTTCTTGATTAAACCAGTTTATTCTTTCTCGACACAACTTTTAGTACACAATAATTGCACATTCAGTACGTTTTTCGTCACTTTAAACTTAACAACTTTAATAATACACGCTATAAATCACAGCGATTCACAATCTCGATAACTTACCGTGACTACTGTTCGTTTTAATCATGCATTCCATCACCGTTGGCTTTTCTCGCCAGGCTTATGTACTAAAATTCAAGGAGTTCCCTGATAATTCGAGAAACTCATTCACGCGTGCGCTAGCAGCGTCACGCGACTTCCGCTGTCCTAACACTGTCCCTTCCTTAGTATTGTTCGGGACGAACAATAGCCACTTACATTAAACCAATAGATAATTAACAATAACTTAATTAAATGTACAGAATTTACAAACACAAAATTAAAATACAACAAAGTATCTTAATTTTGCAGGACATTTCTTCTTTCGTACTGGTCTCCGTCTTATTGTCTTCTGCTTTACGTGGAATTCATCTGCTCCGTCAGGAAACGTCCTAT